GATGGCCCAGGGGGGGGTCCAGTCGGCGCCGGACTTTCTGGCTTCTGTCAGGGTCTCGCTGTCACTGGCTCGGGCGGAGTGCGGTGGCGCCGTCGTGGCCGCCCACAGCCTCAGCCTCCGGGCTCAGGCGGTCTTTCCGCTTCGGCCTCCCAAGCAGCCGGGACGACGGGCTTGTGCCACCACATCTGGCTAGTTTTTGGGTTTTGTTTTGTGGGGTTTATTTGAGCCGGAGTCCCACTCGGTCGCCCAGACTGGAGCGCAGGGCCGCTCCCGGCCACCGCAGCCTCGACCCGCTGGGCTCCGGCGGTCCTTCGCCTCGGCCTTCCGAGTGGCCGGAACGACAGGCGCGCGCGACCACGCCCGGCTCATTTTTGATTTATTGTAGAGATGAGGGCTCGCCAAGTTGCCCAGGCGTGTCTCGAACCTGCGGGCTCAGGCGATCCACTCACCTCAGCCACCCAAAGCCGCGGGATTACCGGCTGAGCCACCGAGCCCGGCTGATCTCTCTTTTTAAAACAGAAGTTTACCATGTCAGACAATTGGGTTTTCCTTTACTGGGCTGTCTGTAAACTGGTTCTGAAACTGAAATTGTTGCCCACTGGAAAGATGTTCCTCCTAGATGGAGCTTTTTCTTTAGGAACAGAGTCCTGCCCTTTCCCTCCCCAAGGAGCTGAAGCCTGAGAGAAATTTGCATGAGCCAGGCTGAACAAGCCAAAGCACTCATGTGTTTGACACCTGTTCACTGTGGGGGTGTCACTAGGGGATAGCCCAGGATTTTTCCTAATTCAAGCTGAGTCCTGCCTGTGGGTGGAAGCCAGCTTTCTCCTAGTTCACAAAGCCTCCTTTGGTCTTCCTCCCAGGTATCGTTGCAGAGGGCCGGAGCGACCTCTACGTCTCAGATGCATTCCATAAGGCATTTCTTGAGGTGAGCACACCTCCTTCCCCCGCGCTTCCTAGTCTGCTTTCTGGCCACCTTATTACTGGATGCTGTGATAGCCTATGCGGTTTGTGACTTTGGAGCTCTTGTTCCACTGGGTGTTAGGATATACGCAGCAGACGCACGAACAGCAGGCACCACTGTGGGAAGGGCAGTGTCCAGTGCTTCTCAGATCCCAAATCCACAGCTTTCTCCTTCAGAAGGCCTGCACCCAGGTCTGATCTATCCTCTGCCCACTACTCCCTTGCAGAAGGTCAAGTGGAGACACGGACATGTAGGGGTGACATAGGAAAAGGAGCTAGCTGAGGCCCCTGAAAGGGAACTCAGAGTTGGAGCAGGAAGACCAGGGGCATGTGGGGTCACAGAAACCCAGAGAGGAGTTCTAAGACATGGAAAGCAGCCAGTTAGTCATTGGAGAGTGACCAAGTTGACCGTTTCCTGAGGACAGGACAGTGTGGCAATACCCGATCATGAGAAAGGGAAGCAGGTGAGTGCGGAGTTGTGTGTTACAGCGTCCAGCGAGTAAGAACACCAGACGATGCGGCAGGAAACAAGTCAAGTGGCCAAACACATGTGTATTCTCTTTTTGGGAGATGAACAGGGCACCCTGGTGTGTTGGGGTCTGAGAAGTCCCATGGCGAAGAAAGCAGGGGGGTATTGCTTGACCTAGTGTCCCCGGCTGAGATGTGCACAGAACCCTGTGCTAGAGTGACAGCTCTGTACAGTCTGTGGAACTTCCGCTTATCAAACACATACTAAACTTTGGACCAACAGGGGAGCCTCAGCCTTGGAGATTCTGGGATGGGGCCTTGAGAGTCTGTACATTTTCAAAAACCCTTGGGAGACTTTTATGAATGAGATTTAACTGCTGTAGACTCTTCTCTGCAAGAGCCAGGCTATGAGGGAAAGGAGATGGGCCAATGTTAGAGAACTCTACAGCACTGAAGAGTGCAAAGAAAGGCTGTAGTCAAAGAAAAAGGTTCCAGGGCACAATGCTAGTAAATATGGATCCAGGCCCAAGCTCTTAGAAGAAAGTAGAGGGAGCCGGGCTCCGTGGCTCAGCCTGTGATCCCACGCCTTGGGAGGCCGAGGTGAGTGGATTGCCTGAGCCCGTGGGTTCGAGACCCACCTGGGCAACTTGGCGAGACCTCATCTCTACAATAAATCAAAAATGAGCAGGCGTGGTAGCGCGCATCTGTAATTCCAGCTACTCGGAAGGCTGAGGCGGAAGGATCGCCGGAGCCCAGCAGGTCGAGGCTGCGGTGGCTGGGAGCGGCCACTGCACTCCAGTCTGGGCGACAGAGTGACACTCCAATTCAAAAAAAAAAGAAAAAAGAAGAAAGTAGAGGGGTCACAGGACATGAGGAAGTCAGATTCATCTTAATGAGAATGAGGAAATGTGATAGCTTAAAAGAACATGTTATAGTCTGAGAAAAGGATGCTATAATTATAATTTTTAAGTGAGAGCAGCACCAAGATGGCAAGTCCAAGTTGTAACCATAGACTGGTTTGCTTAAGTGGAGTGAAGGTAATGCTCATTGGGTTTGATGAGATAAAAAGAAATGGGAAGTTAGGGTGCTGAATGGGCCTCCTAAGAACATTCATTTTTGTTTTTTGAGTTGGGGTCTCACTCTGTCTCCCAGGCTGGAGAGAAGTGGCACAATCACAGATCACCACGACCTCAAACTCCTGGACTCAAGCGATCCTCCTGCCTCAGCCTCTGTGTGCCACCAAATAATCAAATAATTTCTTTTTTAAGAGATGCAGTCTCATTATGTGGCCTAGGCTGGTCTTGAACTCCTGGGCTCAAGTAATCCTCCTGCCTCAGGCTCCCTAAGTGCTGGGATTACAGGTGTAAGCCACTGCACCTGGCCCCAACAAGTTTTTATGTCTAGGTCAAATGATAACAGAAGTTGGGGTGGACAGAAAGGCTAGGTGCCAAAATCCTCAGTGTGGGGATGTAATATATAGGATAATGGATGTCAATGACTTGTAGAACAACAGCAAGAGTAGAGGTATTGAGGTCGGAACAAGGAATTTTTATGAGTACTGCATTAATGGCTTTGGAAGTTAAAATGACACCGCTGGCACTGTCTTCCATATGAATTTTTGGAAGAAAAAATACTTAGGAAGACTGCAAGGAAAGTCGAGTTTTCACAGATTTAAAACCGAAATCCCTGAAAATCCTCTTGTAAAGAGCCTACTTAGGAGTGGTCAACTCCAACCTCCTCGAGGGCTTTGAGTTACTATTAGGAAGAAGCAGAGGTCTGGATTCATTCTATTCACCTGTGCCCTCTACAATGCGGCAAGATTCTTCCATGGCTCTTGGAACAAAGCTGTTTTCCTTGAAAACCTTGGGAACCCTCATTAACAGGATCCCAACCAATGGCAGAGCTCCTTAGAAGCCATTGTAAACCAGAACTTGACTTGAATAAAAGGATCCTGGTCATGTGAAAGCTCTGGGATGCTCATAAGTTCAGTTCTAGAATGAGTATGAAATAGATAATATGGGAAGGTAGAGGGTAAGGAAGAAATGTGACAGTTTGACTGGGTTTCTATGACTACTGCTCAGAGCTTAATATTACAAAGCAGCTGAACTAAGAAAACGGGAAATATTTCTCAAACCTGCCTCTTTGAGGTCCAGAAGCTAGGGCATTTAAAGAGAATTTGGCTGATTGGGTGATGATGACACAAGGGTGCTGAAACTACCTTCATGTCATAGAGCCAGTTTCTGGGAGGAGGGGGCATCACACAACCTGAGGAATTAGCCTCCTGGTATGTGTTCTGGGCCTGGGAGGGGCCTCGGGGCCGTTAAGAGTCTGGAAAATATCTCATGCCATTCTTAGGTTTTACATAGGTGCTATTCATAAAGAAGTCCTGTGACCATCAGCTACTAGTCCCTGGGCAGTGAGCCATTTTAGAGGTAGTTTAGGAGGAAGATGTGGGGAGGTGTGGTCCCTATAGATTGGAGCCACTTTTGTCCTTCAGCCTCTGCTTTTGTCCTCAAGGAGGTCTGTGCCGTCCTAGGCCCATTGTTTAAGGAAATATATGTTTATCAGCCTTGTAGGGGCAGCTTCCTCCATGCCCAGGGTCAGGACATGAAGACAATTACCCTCTAGTGGAGTGAATGCAAACTTAGAAACAACAGGTTTGTCAAGTTCTAAGCACAGCTGCAGCTTTTCAGGGCTCAGGTCTTTTTTACAGCTTTCACCCTATGGCCCAATATTTTATACAGCTGGTTTCAGAAGGAAGGAAAGGGAAGGAAGAGCAAGAGGGAGGGAGAAACCATCATGAACCAGCTCCACAGAGCTCAGGGATCACTAAGCGGCAAGAACAGAATTGTACTGATATTCTGGCTCCCAAAGTCTAATTGTCTCAAAGTGTCTCCCTCCACAGCTGTGGCAATTCTGCCTATCAGCCAAGTTCAAATACTGTTGTTTCGGTCTATTACTCCAAGAAAAACTAACTTCATCCCACAAGTTGTATCTGGGACCTTGGCGCTTGAATCCTGGGACATCTCTTTTAGCAGCTCTGTAACACCACATAGGATAGTGCCAGCCAGAAGCATGACAGCCTGTGCACCTTCAGATTTCCGGCTCAGAGGCTACACAAATGGACTCTTGTACTTGTTACCCAGCACAAGGCTGGGACGAACACAAGTGCCTCACATGCCCTGGAGGAAACAATGAGTGGAATAGGGTTCTGGAGGGACCCTGACCTGACCCAGATGCACCTTTTTACTGAAAAACAAGTAACATTTTGAGGAACTGCAGTCTGAAGATGATTTAAATGTCAATAATGAACTGTAGAGTGGCTAATCAGCCGTCTATTTCCTACATGACCTACAGGTAAACGAAGAAGGCAGTGAGGCAGCAGCAAGTACCGCCATTGGGATTGCTGGCCGTTCGCTGAATCCCAACAGGGTGACCTTCAAGGCCAACAGACCCTTCCTGGTTTTTATAAGGGAAGTTCTTCTGAACACTATTATCTTCATGGGAAGAGTAGCCAACCCTTGTGTTAACTAACGTGTTCTTATTCTTTGGACCTCTTCCTACTTTGGTTTGTGAAAAAAATGCAAATAAATACAATTACTCCCAACTCACAATTAAAAAGGACTTTCATATGTGAAAAAAAGACAAGGAAAGGGGAAACAGAAAGAGAGGCTATCAGGGCACTTCAGTTGTTCCCTGCCCAGTAAACATATCTGGGTCAGGAAGATGAAAGAGAAAGACATGTCACTACTCCATCCGGAAAGATGGCAGCCATCAAGAGAGGGCAGGAGGCTTGCGTTCTCAGTATTCCCATCACACTAAAAAAAACCCAAAAATGTAAACAAATTAATCTTTATATACAGAAAAGGCAGATTCAAATCTGAGTATTAACCATTTAATTCTCAAACCACTCACATGCATAATGTTCTCTTACACAGTGTTAAAATAAAGAGGAAAATGCATTTTTATGCAAACAGAATTTCAAGTATACATTAATAGACTTTTCAGATTACTAATCAAGTTGCTAAGATTTCATTCACATTGTTCTTAAAGCTGTTCAACGAGAAAGCTTTTGCTAAACTGCTTTAAATATGTTTATGTAAATCCATACTTTCACTCTTTGAATGTCCCTCCCACAACCCAAGTCTCTGTCCACCCTCCTGCCCGCCCCACTTCCCGACACAACAGGGCTCCTGGGCTCTAGGAGACATGCAACCCCCCCAAGAATTATTGGCCTGTTACAGGCGAAGGGCAGAATCTACAGGAGGAGAGATTGAGAACAACTGTCAAATTACAGAACAAAACTGATATTTAGAAATGACACAAACCCATGTCTTAGAACCTTTGTTGTTTTCATTTGACTTTTAATTTTAATAAATCTCAGCCTCCCACAAGACAACACAGAAGTTTCTGACAATTTGGTAGCTGAGAAAATAACTTAATATTAAGCAAAACTTAATATTACCAGTGAAACTTCCCAAATCAGGGTAGGCATTTTGAACTATTATTAAATTTGGTGGTTGTTTTTTTCCTTTTGGCAAGGAGTGGGAGCAGCGTAAAAATGGATGTCACTGTTTGTGTGCTTACATTCAGGAATTTGGTTAATTTTGCAGGGTCTGGCAAGAGTTCTCCCTCCATGACTCTCCTCCTGAAGTAATCTAGTTTAGGGCCAGGGATAGCCACTCTCCTTAGGAATTAAAGTGCATTTTTTCAGGAAAGGGGAGGGTGGGGAGGTGGTGGTTTACACTTAAGTGATAATGATTAAAGGAGGGCGGGGGAAGAGAAAATCCTATTCCTACATATAGGTACTTATAATTAAGGTCATAATAAAAATGGATGTTCTTACGAAGAAAGATGCGCAAAGCCAGCCCAAAAGGCTCCCTGGCTTTTCGGAGGCATCTTTAATGGAGTAATTGCTTCAGATGAATGACAAAAATCTCAAGTGTTAGTTTCTTCAAAGGGAAAAAACAGACTGGTAGGTTCTTATAGCTAAAAATATTCTATTCCATTCCCTTTCAGGGATAACATTTTAGAAATTGATTGTCTATTTTAATATGAATCTTCCTTAATTAGCAAGTTGTAAAAAATGTCGTTAAATAAATCTGTTGCTTACAAATATTATGGTAACCTTTAAGAACTCAGGAAGAGACAGGCATAGATCTTTATCAATCGATATCAACTGAGGGGAAGTGAAATTTTCCTATGATCTCTATTTGATAGCTACCACCAGAATCTTATTTTCTGACTACTTTCCTTTAAATGCTCTATGATTCCTTAGGGGTAAAACTCAAGAGATTCCCCAAGAGAAGTAAATGCTACATTTCCAGCTATACAAAGAAGTGATGGGCTCAAGGGAAATTTGTCCTGGATTCTGGCCTGAGTCCAGTGTGACTTGCTTTTCACAGTGACCAGTGGGAAGGCACAGTGCCAGGGACTGGTGGATGGGGACAGCTGTCACCCATCAGATAAGCACCATAGAGAACAGTTGGATATCCATCTGAAAGAAACCACTTGACTACACAGACTTTCCTGTCTTTTGATCCCTTGGCCTTTCCTCTCTCAGTGACAGGGTGAGTGGGCCCCACCTGAAATCATGAAATCTAAATGCTCTTCCAATATACTTCTCCCTTTCTCAGACTCACATGCTCAAAACACAGTTCTGATTTAGGATTTCTTAAAGGGGAAGGAAGCTATTAGTTCCTGATCGGACTGCCAGATCCATTAAGTTCTGCTATCAGATCCCAAAATAATGCAGTGAGCAAAAACTGTGATCACAGATCACAGCAGATGAAAAGCAAATGGACTGAGATAGAAACACATTTCTCTGCTTATATTTTAGGAATGCTTTTCGTATGTTGAGGGTAGGAGGATGGGGCAGGGGTGAAAACAGTCAAGCTAACCTTTGTTTTCCTGTTTCAGAAAGGATTTTCTAATTTTAAGTGGAAACAGCAGAGAACTTGACTTCACAGTGCTGACAGGGAATTCCTGTTAAGGAATTTGCTTCATTCCTTGCTTGAAACTAAAAGTTTGTGTGTCTATCTTTTACCATTACTTCCCCATCCTCTTCTACTCTACTCCCGTACTCTCCCCCGCCCCCAAGTCTTAAAATCCAGTGCAGTATAATTTGCATAAAGTTAAACCTCAACCTTTCACAGTATTCCACTATGGTCTTCAGCATGGACACCCTAAGGGGCTACTCTCTCTGGAGTCTCAAAGGCTATTGCTCTTCTTTTTCTTTGAGTTGGAGTCTCACCCTGTCGCCCAGGCTGGTGTGCAGTGGCATGTTCACAGCCACTGTAGCCTCAACCTGCTGGGCTCAGGCGATTCTTCTGCCTCAGCCTTCCAAGTAGCTGGAACCACAGGCGTGTGTTACCATGCCTGGCTAATTTTTTGACTTATTGTACAGATGAGGTCTCACCAAGTTGCCTAGGCTGGTCTCGAACCCCTGGGTTCAGACAATCCTCTCGCCTCCACTTCCCAAAGTGGCTTCAGCCACCACACCCACCAGGCTATTGCTTTTCTATTCCAACCAAAAGACAGGAAGCCTAGGCCAGATGTGGTAACGCACACCTGTAATCCCAGCACTTTGAAAGGCTGAGACAAGAGGCTTTCCTGAGCCCAGGGGTTCAAGACCAGCCTGCGCAACTTGGCGAGACTTCACCTCTACAATAAATGAAAAAAAAAATTAGCTGGGTGTGGTGGTGCACACCTGTAATTCCAGCTACTTGGAAGGCTGAGATGGAAGGATCGCCAGAACCCAGGAAGTTGAGGCTGCTGTGGCAGTGAGTGTGCTACTGCACTCTAGCCTGGGCAATAGAGTGAGATTCTGACGCAAAAACAAAAAACAAAAAACAAAGACAGGAAGCCTTCAACAAATTTTCTAAGGCATAGGAGGCATTTTCTCTGATACTGCAGTTTGTACATGCTAAGCAAACAGCCAGACCTTAATGCTACTTCAATGATGTTTCATAGTCTAATGCTAATTAAGTCCTTTGTACTAACCAACTTCTTCCTTGGCAGACTTTTTCTTCCTGTACACACCACCTATTTGATGTTCAAATTATCACTTACGTGTAGGCAATATACGAACAGAAATTTTCTGTGGTATCCAGAATACTCTTAGAAGACTGCTACATTTGAACTTGTTCTGAAATACAAATTTTTCTCATGAGTTAAAGTCATTTGGTGGCCAGTTAGTCTGAACAATAGTTCTCACTTTTTATGAACAATTGAAACAACTCTTCTCTCCCTGTTACCATGTGTGAGTTGCCATGGGCAGGTAACAAACTGTGACAGTCACTGAAACATCTTTACTCTGGGGTGAGAAGAATGGAAGATTTGGAACCTCATTGGGGTATTTCTGGGTTAGGTTTTTGACATCCTGGGAAAAAGATGTTAAAAAGACTCATTTCACACTTCATATAATATTCAGAAAGATTTACGTCTTAGCTAGTTCATTTCATTCACACACACACCAAATCCAGGAAAAAGTGAAGGTAACTAGACACTGAAATTCCACTTAGGAGACAGGCTAATCAAGAGACAAGTAATCAAATGTATCAGCATCATCCAGGCAGAATCCTTTTTCTGCATTAACTTTAGCTGCTACCTGTTTATTTTACAAATAGAAACTACTCTAGACAGTTTAAGCTTGGCTCTTTTAATAAATTCAAGTACTCTATTTCAGCTAGCAGAGCAAAGCAAGCTCCACTCAAATTACATATGCCAAGAAAAGAGGAGTCTGGAGAAGGGACTTGGAAATTTTGTTTTGTTTACTTATGCAGACTTTGGTATAGAGGGAAAACTGGATGGATGGCAACATCTCCCTCCAGAATGACTCTGAGGACAAATGGATGGTCCATTTTACGACTGTTTAAGCTTTAAACTGAGAGCTTTGCATGGGATATCAATAAAGATGTTTTAGGTCAAAGAGACCTAAGCTCTCCTAGACTGAAGACATCCCATCAAAGACCAGTAGGGACTGCCTAGGCAGTGATTCCCCACCAAGGTTGCATGTGGGAACCATCGAGGAAGCTTTAAAGCCCAGGATGCACAACAGATCAATTACATGCAAATGTCTGGAGGGGTACAGACATTCATTCTGTAACAGAGAGCATTAATTAAGCCAATGTTCATTGAGGCCAGGGGGAAGAAGACTCAAATGCCTTCCTTTCAGTTTGATGGATTTAACAGGTCTCAACCTAGGCATTTTTCACTTTTTAACTAAATCTCTTTGACTGTAATAGGCAGCAACACCAACGGTAAAGTATCAATTTTGGTAAGAAGACGCACCTTAAGTATCTGTTGTAACAAAAGATTGGGAACAAGCCTAGGCCAAGGCTCAGGGCACAAAAGATAAGTCAGAAGGAAAATTTTTCCTAAGCAGAAATCAATTTCTAAGTCTAGGATATTAGCATGGCTTATAGGCTGAGGACTATTCTATAGTTAGGAAAAAATATATAGTTGTGGTAAAAAGATTCATATGATCTGACCTCATCTCCCTATAAGATTTACACTGTATTTGGGCAGAGTTACCAAATCAGTTGTCACTTCCGAGTAATGCTTTTCATGTTACTTAAAATTCACATTCTCGGAGTAACCCCTTCAGGTTCC